TCCACACCATGAGATGGAAAACAGACCATGGGAGGATGTGGAGCTGCCTCTTTGTTTTGTGTGGTACACAGACCTTTTGCTCTGTCTGAGCTTTCTGGAAATGACGGGCCAAAAAACTCCAGTGCAAACATGGAGCAGTGCTGTGGGATGGACTGCCTGGGGCCAGGGACGGCTCAGGGCAGGGCTGTCCCCAAACCTTGTCCCTCTCCGCAAGGCTCGCAGCATGGGCACCTACAGCCCTGCCCGCACGTGCCACCTCTCACCCACGGCATTTTCCTCGTTCATGCTGAGATCTACTAAAGAAGCTGGGAAATATTTTTTGTGGTTGTTTTTAAGTGTGGAAGAGTAAAGTGAATTTTGGCTTATGATTATGGATAGTTTGGGTAAGAGTTAGCAGGAGTTTCCTATCCAGCCAGGTGCAATGAGAAGGGAGGCCTCTGGAAGCTGTTCAGCAGCATGCGAGAGCGTAGCAAGACATTACTTACAGCGTGTGTTTTTAACATGGCTTGAAATTCCTAAACAATAATACTGACAGGTAATGTCATCAGAGCTGGTTGGGACCTTTTGGGTGAAACATTTGATTTGGCAAAGCCATCTCTCTTGACAGAAGTGGCTGTAGAATCACAGAACGGTTTGGGTTGGAAGGGACCTTCAAAGATCCGCTAGTCCAACCCCCTGCCATGGGCAGGGACATCTTGCATTAGGTTGGGTTGCTCAAAGCCCCATCCAACCTGGCCTTGAACACTTCCAATGATGGGACATCCACAGCTTCTCCAGGCAGCCTGTGTCTTGTTTAATGTTCTGTTGGGTTTCTCAGGTCAACGCTGGAATCAAAGCCCAAAGCAAAGCCCCAACCAAGCAGGAGAGGAAGGACACCTCTCTTGATTTGGGTTAGAGACCCAAATCCACGAGTCCTAGCTCGCAGGCAAAGTTCCTGGCGACTGAGCCTCCATCTATTCTGGGACAGTCTCTGTTTGGCTCTGGCTTTCTGTCAGGCTCTCTGTCTTTGCTTTCTTCAATTATGTTTCTCTATTAACACTTTCCAGGGGTTTTGTTCCACAATGCTTTTGTTCCACATCAAAACAACACAGATCCTGCAGCATTCCTCAAAGGACGCAACTCCCATTCACTGGCTGGTCCAAGTAATCATAGAAATTATTAGTTTCCTTAAGCTTTTATTGTACCCATCCAGAAATACAAGCTTGCCCTGTTTCGATCTGAAACGCTATGCACAGAAAGGAGAAAATTCCGCATAGTACCACAAACATCATGCTTGCAAGAAAGTGGTATGTTAATTAATAAAGTCTGGGAGCCACTGGTTTAACATATTAATTAATTTGTTATGCAGAGAGAGATGGAAAGAGATATTTCCTTATTAGATTTTTGAATGTCTGATACTTTTATTGTAATCATGTTCTATTTTGTGTCTTTCTTACAAACATTCTAATAGTGTTTCTAATAGTATAATTGTGTTAGATAATTATTTCAGCAAAGGGAAGGAGAAATAAGGGGTTATAGGCCAGATGAATGTATTCAGAACTTGAAATAGGAGGGACAGCTGTGAGGGTAGATCCTGGACGAGAGATCCTTTTGCAACCAAGGACCAGCGGAGAGCAGGATCTGCTTAGGAACAAAGGGGGATATGAGACAGTGGGTCAGAAGAGCCAGGAGAAAAGAATCCTGCTTTTCCCAAAGGGTTTTGAACATGAAGGCACTGCTGAACTGGACTGGCAGGTGTGTGAATCAGAGAGATGTGGCAGTGGGCTCTATAGCTGCCTGTCTTCACTAATGCAAGAAGGAGAGAAGCTGCCTTTTTTACAGGCTGCAGTGAGAATCGTGGAGATAACCTGGCCCGGGCCGATCCAGCCCTTTCAGCACAGTGGGCTGAAGACCATTTTTGAAGTGTCTCCAGAGGACACATACAGAAATGTCGTCTTGGACCTGCAAGCCTCTGAGCTGCTGCCAGCCCAGCTCACTGCTGCTCCAGGACTGGTGAGACCAGAGCCATCTCTTCCCCCAAAGGGGAGGTGGCATTTCTCGGAGCTAAGCACATTAGGAGGCATTTGCCTGCTCCGATATGGCCACTGATAGCCCTAACCAGCAGGGCTGGTTGAATCACCCCTTGGGCAGAAGCCAACCTGTGGGTTGTAAGTCGGACCACAGAACTGCAGAGAGCGGAGAAGTTGTTAGTTGAGGGAAGTGAGATAAAGGGAAGGTGGGGATTACAGTGCCTTTGGCAAATAATGCCTTAACTGACGTGGGACAGCCCTCTCGCATGGCTGTGCCCAGGGCCAGGCTGAAAGCACTTTGAACAAGTCATAGAAAAAGTTGGGGTTCCCAGAGCTACATGGAGTACTTAAGCACTCACCTTACATTAAAACTGACTGCTGGGCGTCTTTGGCTGGGTCCACTGGCATTCTTCACAGTATTAACCATATGCGATTTCACATGAGAAGTACCTGTGGAAACCTGAGTGTGAACTTAAATTCCTGTGTTCAGATATTGCCCAGCTGTTTTCTTCTGCACAGTCCCAGTGACTGGAGTAGAGAGATGTTCATTTTTAGAGTTTTCTTCACCTCAGAAAATCTTCAGGGGGAAAAAAAAGGACAGAGGTAGTCAATCCTTCGTTACACTCTATATTTTTGCATTACTATAGCACTTAAAAACTTTAGTTCCTTGTCAAGAAGAGGCAAAGAATAGAAGACAGTGATTCCCAGTGGAGCTCCCATGAGTCGGGAGAGCCTGTGGCTCTGACCCAGGGTCTGGTGTACGGCTGGGACGGGAGCCTGTATTGGGGCAGTAACCACACTGGGACAAGAGCGATGTGTATTTGACAAGAGTTTCAATAGATTAAACTCTCCATGACTGCACGTAGACTCAGAGATTCACCCCCAAAACTCCCATAGTTATTTTTCAGCTGATTTGGGGACTGCCTGAAGCCACTTTTTAGCTTTCCTCAAGGTTTCCTGCAAAAGGCTAAGGAAAACAGCCTTATTCTTGCCCATACTAAGGTCTTTTCACTGCCCTACCTACAGAAAAGTTATCTGCTGTGTCCTTTATAACCCACTTAGCTTCTCTACACCCATTTTGGCCACTGTAAATATAATACAGCCCAAAATAATTATTCTTTATTCTGACACATGCACGCGTACAAAAGGTTTGGGATAAGAATAGAAATTCTTTACAGATTCCTTCTGGATGCATCAGAAAGAATCAGAGGCCAGATTCTGCCCTTAGTCCCTGCAGATGAATACTGGTGTGGCTCCCTAAAATCAATAATATTACTCTGCACTTATACAGTGTCAGATTAGAGGCTATGAAATCAAAACCAAACCCCATGAAGTCTAGTTTGGCAGTGCTCGCAGCAAGCCATAAAACCCTCTATAGTTACTTAGAAGTGGTTCTCTGTCCCAGGAAAAAAAAAGCAGTATTAAATCTGACCTTGTAGCCCTGCAAGGTTAGATGCCAATACATCTCATTGAGAAGACAGTAAACTCTTCTTTCTAGTGGTGCCATGCTATTATTTCCTATGTCATAAGATGCTGCTCCTTAAATTCCTTGCTGGTTCAAGATTACTTACTGAATCCTAACTGCTGTGGGTCCGAGATAAGCTATACTAGGTGAGAACTTCATCTGTGGAGAAAGACGTTTCCCAAACCTAGCATCTGTTTGCATCTGTGGAGTCGTTTGATGCATTAGAGGTGGCCCTTTGGGAGAAGGACTAACAGTGTGCTTCTATTTTTGCATGAAATCAGGCTCGGCAGAGGGCATGATGATGCATGAATATCAGCGTGCATCTGCTTTCTCACCGTCATTTCCTCAGAGTTAGGAGGGAGGCAGAGGATGGCAGTAACAAGAGGGACGCAGACAGCCCTCCCCATTACTTACCAGGGCAGCAGGGGGTCTTGCTTCACACACTTTCTGCAGATGAGCAGCTGCCAGCCAGTAATGTAACTCATGCTGCTGCTGCTCTTTGCGGAGAGGCAACTCCGTTTCCGCTAGCTGCTTGGCTCGATTTGGCATTTTTTTTTATTATAGCCCAACATAGCATGACAGTGCAGCTGATTCACTGCACCATGGCTGGGGTAAGGTCCGCAGTCATGCCGTCTCAGCGGACCCAGTGGGAGTACGAGTGCAAACTCCCGCTCTACTCCTAGCCTGACTTTTGGGACTTGAAAGAGAGGGATGTGCTACATTTTAAATATTCATGCATACACCCTTAGCTGCAACGCTTAAGCTTTCAGGTATTTTAGGTCGGAGCTAGTCTTCTAACCAGCCTGAAGCTATGCTGCACCATGCTGTATTCCTGACAATTTTTTCAATTAAATGTGCTTGAATCTAGTAATTTTCCCGATGGCTCACCTCCAAGAAAAATGGTGTCGATCATTTGGTATGTTTCAGGGTTGGGTGTGAGTCAGCTCTGAGTCAGGCAGCAGCTCCAGCTCCACGAAGTGCTGGTCCCTCTGTGCTGGCACGACTCTTGGCCCTGTGATGGACATTGCTCCTGAACCTCCCCAGCAGCACCGTGTGAGAACACAGGCGCTGGGCACTCGCAAAGCAAAGGGGCAAGTCCACAGCTTTTGGCTGATCATGTGCTGCAAAGCCCCCTCAGCCTCAGAAGATGGCAGGGTGCATAGATGATGCTGGCTCCAGGCAGGGAGAAGGAAATGGGGACCTGTCTTACCCCCCATGGAGGGGCCCATCCGACAGGGGTGTGGGCACGGCGAGTCACTGCCGTGCGAACAACTTCCCTCCTCAGAGCCAGGAGGAAACAAGGAAGGAGTTTTGTCCAGAGACCTCTGTCCCTGGCGTGGTGTTTCTGTTTATATTCATGTTTATATTAAGTAGGGTGGTGTCCCAGTCCTCAGGCAGTTGAGAGCAAAACCAGACGCAGTCCTGAAGGCAACAGTCCCTGTGTGCGTTGTGCAAAGCGGCGTGACTGATGGGTTCCTCGCTCTCTCTTTGTCTTTCTTTCCCCCTTCTTGGCGGTGTGATTGAAGCAACGCCCCGTGAAGCAGTCCCTGAGTGCCTGCATGTGCCGAGAGTCCCACTGGAAATGCCTCCTCCTCTCCGTCCTCATGTACGGCTGCCTGGGTGCAGTGGCCTGGTGTCAGCTGACCCGGGTCACCAAGCTCAGCTTCGATAGCTCCTTCAAGGGCAAGTCCATGATCTACCATGACAGCCCGTGCTCGGACGGCTACGTCTATATCCCTCTGGCCTTCCTCTCTATGCTGTACGTGGTATACCTGGTGGAGTGCTGGCACTGCCACGTCAAGAGAGAGCTGCAGTACAAGGCAGATGTGGACAGTGTCTATGAATGCATCAACCGCATGCAGCAAGCCACTCCATGCATCTGGTGGAAGGCCATCAGCTACCACTTTGTGCGGCGAACCCGGCAGGTGACCCGGTACCGCAACGGCGATGCCTACACCACCACGCAAGTCTACCACGAGAGGGTCAACACCCACGTGGCTGAAGCTGAGTTTGACTACTCTCACTGTGGATACAAGGACATCTCCAAGGAGCTTCTGGGCCTGGAGAGCTACACAGCCACCAAGCTGAGGTTCACCAAGTGCTTCAGCTTTGCCAACATTGAGTCTGAGAACTCTTACCTGACTCAGAGGGCTCACTTCTTCACGGAGATCGAGGGGCTGGATGACTACATGGAGGTGAGGGAAGGCATGCAGCTCAAAAATGTGGACTTTAAAGAGCTTATGATGGCCTACGGGGACCCGGATCACCTCCCATGGTATGTGTCCCACTATGCTTTCTGGGTGGCAGCTATCCTGATGATCTCATGGCCGCTCAGGGTACTCATAGAGTATCGGACTGCTTATGTCCACTACCATGTGGAGAAGTTGCTGGGCCTGGAGTACACGGCATCCACCGCGGCAGAGGAGCCCTTGTACCGGTACCGCATGCCCCGAGACGCCACGCAGGACAGCACCGAGCTGGAGTGGCACATCTGCACCAACCGCCAGCTGATCCCCAGTTACTCGGAGGCCATGCTCATGGACCTGGCTGACACCCCGGCCTACAACAGCTACGCGGTGTGCCGGTACGGTGAAACAGCCCACGGCTGCGAACGCTGCAACCGTGCCTCCAGCACCTCCTCCATCTTCTCGCGCCACGCTTTCCACAGCTGCAGTGGCAACTCCCGCCTCTCCCTCAACACCAGCCGCTTCTCCCTCTGCCGCATCCATGGCTCCCACAGGACAGGCCTCTGGAGGAGGGAGGACCCGCAGCAGCAGCATTGCGGACCGGGGCTGCCAGGACGAGCAGTGCTGCTCCTACTCCAGCCAGCTGGCTGTCAACGAAAACCCCCCAACCTACCACGACGCCCGCTTCTTCCCTGTCCTGATTGTGCACAGGCCGGAGGGGCACGACGGGCGGCATTTCTACGTCAGGCGCTCCTCCTGTCTAGAAACCTCTCTGTGACAGGCCTCAATGGTTTCTCGGCTCCTTTGTCCCAGGACAGGGCTTGTAGAGGTGCTGCCGGCGGGGAGCCTGCTAGCATTGGTCTCCACAACAGGTCGGCAGGACGAGCCTCGGCTCTTCCTCCTGCCATTGCAAGAAGATGTAGTCACTCTGACCAACAGCTAACCTCATTTCCAAGAGCTTCTCCCCCTCCTTTGGCTGGTCTTCCTAGTCTTTTGTTCCCCTCTTCCTTTCGCTTTTTTACTCCTCACCCTTTCTCTGTTCCTCAGTTCCCTGCCTCTCCTCCCATCCCACCTTCGGTCTTTTTTTTATGTTTCAGTCACAGCATTTGACCATTGTTGCTGCTGGAGGATTTATAAAGCCTGTGCTTTGCGGTATATTTGACCTCTTGGATGCCCTGCAAGGTAAGAAACTCAGATAGAGCAAAGCAAAAGGCACGCAGCCAGCCAGAAGGAGAATTCAGATCTGCAGGCACTGAGTCACCTCCTGCAAACCCCAAACGAGGTGCTTTTAAAATTTATTTTATTTTCACCAGCCTTTTTTCCTCCTCTTCTGCCATTTATTCTCTCATGTCTTCATGTTCTTGTCCGCTCATTTTACCCTCATCTTCCTTTTTTTTCAGTTTTCTCACTTCTGCTTTCCAATTTTTCTGGGGTTTTGCTGGTGAGGATGTCTTTCAGGGTGTAATTGCCTTCCATTGGGCAAAAATAAGGTATTCACGGCACAAATGTCAGTGACTGCTGACACAAGCACAGGCTATGCCCCTGAGAAGTGATGAGGACTTTCTTTCCAGAGCAGTGACCTACACCTATAAAGCAAAAAGCCCTTTGCTCACCTTGCTCTGCCTGGTCTGCGGCAGAGACGCTGCTGCGTTTCCAGCTGTAGTTAACCTTGTCCAGGTCCACCCCTGTTAGCAATCGTTCAGAGCTGTAATATAGATCAGTGCCCTGTCAGTGCCACTATTTTTAGGACTGTGGGTCTGGTTTGTGGTTGTTTCATTCCTACCACTTGCTCAGAGCAGCAGGGGCTGGACAAGGGGAGAGGGGCTGGAGAGGGAAAGGTAAATATGGTACTAACCCTCCCACCGATACTCTGGAGTTGTTAGGAAGCTCTTCCACCCACAGCATCTATGAGAGCAGTTGCAGGACTGCTCTACGTTATCTTTCAACTTTCCGTGTGCCCTGGGGAGGACTTTTGGCCCATAGCCCACTGCTGCCTTCCCACCTTCCCAGACGAGATGCGATGCCACCCCAGCCCCGGGCAGGGAGCACAGCTGGGAGCCAGCCCCACCAGCCTCTCCTGCTGTTGGCTCCAGGCTCTTCCCGCAAGGCTTCTCCCAGAGCAGGTGCATCACCTTCTGGAATTAGTCCCAGCAATGCCAGACCCAGAAAGTGTCTGGTACCAGCGGAGCAGACCGCTGCACTTTGGGCTGTGGGCTGCCCTCCTGCCCTGGTCAGAGAGCCCCCCAAGAGCCAGGGACCGACCTAAGAAGCTTATGGCCACACTGAGGACCCACCAGGGACCTCCCACCTGCCAAACCTCCATCCTACGAGGGATGGTCAGATGCTGAGCAAGCTCCGTACCATTTTGTCGTGTGGATGGTGGAGATTATTATCCACCATGACTCACAGGAGAATGCAATACGATCGCAATACAGGCACTTTCAAAAACAAAGTGTTGTCACACCCCACAGCAAGTAGGTAAGAAACCAAGCCCCTAGAGGGGCTGGCAACAAATGCTTCCTCCCGAGTCCATTCTGTGTGTATCTACATGTAATATGAGTTTTGTAAAGTCATATTAGTGTGTGTAGATTATATATAACTCTGCATACTTGTATGGTGATTTCTTATGGCATTGACTGTTGTACCACGTTAAATACATTTAGTTTTGGTTTGATGACTCCGTTTTGATGTGCTGTGTTTATTTCAACTCCAGAAATAGAAACATTGGCAATACCTGGCTAACCTGTGGCAAATGATGGCACCATCAGAAAGGTTGTTTAAATTCGTATGAGTCGATCTGTTTTAATGTAAATACTTTATGTATGATTTATGTGACATTTTCATTCTGACAGCTTGGCATTTATTGCAAAAGATAGATAACACATACGATGTGTTAGTTTATCACCTCTAAAAAAGAATAACCATCCTAGACACGTGGAGGAACCAGGTTTGGGCTCAGGGTAATGATTATGTTTGGGCTGGGGCCAAACTGGATAACACTGAAACTTAGAGAAAAATCCAAACTTAGATCCACCCTACAGTGACCCAGTCCTAGTCCCCCATCTACACCGTGCCACCCACCACCCCCAGGCAGAGCTGGGAGAGCTTGGGAACTAGGAAAGGATCAGGCCTGAACTCAAAGCTCAGAGTCATCCCTGGTTTACTTGTATTCCGAAGATGAAGTAAATGCAAGCCTTTAATATGGTTCCCTGTCCTTATCTTCATTCACACAGACAGTTAAAACCAGCACATATGGAAGATCTAAGAGCTGGAGGAGGCTGAAACCTCACGAAACAGTGAGGCTGGAATATTTCAACAGTTTCTTACTGAAGGAGGTGGTAGGGAGGAGGACAAGAAAGAAGAAAGGAAGAGATGGTAGAATAATATAAATTAAAAGAGAACAGAGTTCAGCTGCAGCTAAGATAATTCCGAAATGAGCAGCATAACTCAGTTATGGCAAGCTTAGCCCAGACACAGGCAGGATGAGTTTCAGCCTTCTTGTGAGCTGCTGCAGCCACCTGCGGCTTTAAATACCATGTCCAAGGTCTTGGCATGGCCAGTTTGATCCCGTATGTGTTCCAAGACGGAGAGTTATATTTGGGTCCTCAGAAGTGGCGACGTTAAACAGCATTATTATCTGACATGAGCAAGCTCTGGCAATCCCATTGGTATGATGGGTTGGGCAGAGAATGGAGACAGTTTATGCCCAGTTTAAGCATTCCAGTGTTCTCAAAAGCCACCGTACTCTCCAGCAGCTCTCAAGCTGTATCCCTGGCAGAATGTGGAAAGCCCAGAGGGTTTCTACTTCCTCACTCCCTGTGTTCTGCCCCAGCTCTGGGGCATTTATTCGAGAAGGCATCCCTAAGCTGCAAAAGCCCTCACACACATGGAGCTCTCTCCTGTCACTTGCTGTAGCCTCTGGTGGTGACTGAAAAGCAGGGAGCAGCTTCTGTACTGGCCTGGGGCTGAATATGCTGGTTTCAACAGATCGCCCACTCAGGAAGCACCTGAACGACCATCCTGGATCTCCTACACCGTGGAGCAGAGCTACTCCTGCGACCCTTGAACACTATTGTCGCTCGTGCCATTGCCACAGCTTCCCGATGCAGGATGAGGATCTGTCCCCTAGCAATGGAGGGGATAATGCTGCTCTTCAAATCCCAAGTCAGAGGATGGAGCGGACAGGTGCTCGAACCCAAGGGCAAACCAAGCAGCTCTATGGAAAACACCCCGTACAAAACACAGGGATTTTGTATCCAATTGCAGACTGACTACTTGGACAATGGAGTAGTGGCATGCACCAGCTTCTCACGTGGCTACGGCTTCTTATGTGGAAATGGGTGTTTTGGGGTGCTTTCTCACTGGGATAACCCATCCTTGCCCTGTTGGGTCTCAATAATTAGAAGAGGCTGAACAGCAGAGGAAGGTGAGGAAGTTCAGCAAATACTTCCCTCCCTCCCTCTCTTCCTTTCTTCCTTTCCTTCTCCTCATCTTCAGAAGTCTCCCAGCCCTGGGAATTCACTTCTTGGTTATTGTGCAGCTCTTCAGGCATTTTCTAGAACATGCCTATGCTGCCCAGCAAGTCCGGTGAGATGTGACAACACACTATCACAACAGAAGAAGTAAGGAAAAGACATAAGCCAGGAAGGCACTTGCTTATTTATAAGCCACCGTGGTGTGTCCTGTGTGTGTGAGCAGCGAGCACTAGCATTGTGTTACAGCCTGTAGAACAAAGCCACGTTGCTCCATTCAGTGGCACAAGAGGCCGAGAGAGTTTATTTGTCTTCGGTTCCTAAAAGCATTTCAGATTCACCAGTTCCTTTGATTTCTGCATGGTAATATTGCACTCCGTAAGTTTTCCCACAGCAGTTTGCACTCCAACTGGCAGCGCGTGCGAGATTTCCGTCCAATTTTCGTATGGCTCTTCCTGCCTATCACTATTGACACAAAGCCCTTCTCAGAAGAGCTGAAGCCAGATCCCCTGCTGGGGAAATTTCCCTTTGGTCTACTACTTCCAGCAAAGCTTTACTCTCTCACACCAGCCCAGAGTTTGGCCTGTGCCATGCTACAGTAACTTTCTAACGGTTACTCCTCGTTGCAGATAAAAGCTCCCTTCCCCTTCTCCTTCTCCTTCCCAAAGCCTTTGGGAGCATTGCGTACGACATTTGGATGAAGCACAACATGCCCGTCGAGGTAGAGGTGTGCTCTGGGCATGCATCGTGTAGTCGAGCCTCTCTCGGTTGCTGCTTTTCCAAACGGGCTTGGCCAAGTCACGGCGCTTGCCCGTGCCTCCTCCCTCCTGCTTGTACACCGGAGCGTGTCCTGAGCCCGCAGGGCCGGGGTAGTCTTGTAAGCCTCTGTCATCGTAAGGCTGGAAGAAACCCTTAGAAGGAAAATGCCGTAGAAACACGGCGTTATTCTAATGGCCATTATTTTTTCTCATGAGACAACTAAAATATGCAAAAGTAACTACTTTCTGGAAGGCGCTATCGCCGTGAGCAAGTGCAGAAACACGCCACGCACCGGGGTAGATGGGTGTAGATGGATACACGGGGGAGAGAGAGCAGCGACAGCGAGTGCGTGTGAAGCTTTTAGCAAACACCGGCGCAGAACCTCTCAGCCCAAGAGTGGTTGTGATCCCGATGAGAGGTGTGTCACGATTCCCTGGCCCCGTGAGCACTCAGGCGTCCCGCAAGCTCTCGGGTGGATGGCTTGTCAGTGTCTCCTCCGGGCCGCCTCATCGCGGCGGGAGGCACTGGTGAGGGAGTGACATTTCAA